ATATTACCGGGATTGGATGGAGATACAGAAGCCATTTGGCAAAAAAGCATACCCCCGAGAAAATCCAAGTGGAAGATTCAAAAAAGCAGGGGTTAGTGCTGAATCTCAGTATTTACAGATAGGCGGTCTAAAGATTTTGAATGTGACTTGCTATAAATAAGTACTTTTAGTTAAATTAAGGCCAAGAGGTTGACATTCTAAAAAACAGTGGCCCAACTGTCAGCTAGCTGAGACAGTGAAACACGTGCAAATGAACATATGGGGTATAGATCAAATGTAGGCGGCGGACAGCTCGGTGAATAAGACAGCTAAGGTCAACGGTGTCGATTCTGAGGACGCAGTTGACTTCAACTGTCACTCTCGTCTACTATAGAAAATCATCGTAAATCGGATGAAGATTTCAGGGTACGCCAACCGAAGTTCGTCAAACAACAAGGCTTCAGCTCGACCAAGTCGACTGTTGGATTCTTGCTGAAATTCGTATTTCAGGACAACAAACCTATGACAATGTTACCACACAAAGGTTCACAGGTGCAATTCGATTGTCTCGAATGAGATATCTACCAAAGCAGGCATAACGGAAGACAGAACAGTCTCAGAGGAAGAAACATTCTACAAGTCCTGGAATTTCGTATCAAAACGCACTTTGTATTCGAAGGAAAAAGCTACGAACAAGTGATAGGCGTGCGAATGGATGCAGTAATGTCAGCAAATATAATTGAGTTTGTACTTAAATAGTTGGCATCACTAGTCCCTTAACATCAAAGATCGAAAGTATGAACACAGAATGTGGATTATTCCCTGTTGTCGTCAGAGGCAACCTGGCACTGACCTTCGAAGAGCATCTGAACACCAGCTTCTCGGAGGCAAGCGGAAGAAAACAACCAAGTAGAGATTAAGAAGAAACCTGATTCCCATCGGCTAGCGAAATAATACTTTTGGTAATTCCGTAAACAGACCATTTAACAATAAACAAGGTTGCTAGAACCTATTTAAGAACTTTTATGTCAATCAAATTTAATTAGGGAAATGAAAACCCTCGAGTCATTGCCGATTAAGATACGCTCACTTTTCTACTTCGAGGTATCTTCATCTAAGAAAAACGTTACTCCAATAGATATTAAAAGTTGCCATATCTGCATTCCGTCACTGGCGGCACGGCAGAATGACAAAAAAATCGTGCGGTACCAAACACCAAATCCTCCGGTAAAAGACCACTCGGGGTAATTTAATATTCCTTTGCAGGAAGAAACTTTGACTTTTTGCAGGAGCAATCATATTAAATGAAGAGATATGCTCGAAAAATATGGAAACATGCGGTCTGTGTGGACTTCGGAAAGATTGTATTGGAGCTCTACAGGAGTAACCGATTTGGAACCTGAACTGACTTGACGAGACAGATATGGAAAGTAGGCGGACTAAGAAATTACGCTGCACATGACATGCGTGTCATTAAACAGTAATGAATTTGACGGAATGGGCTAATGGAAGTGCTAAAGCTGATGATAGCACTTATGAAGTCTAAGTTAACGGATGCACGAGTTGTAGAGGCGTAGGACAGAAAACGGATAACGCATTGAAAAAGCAGCCACATTTTAGGAGAAGGATTAATTTGCAAGGAAATATCAGCTAAAATACCA